AATTTTACTAAATTTAATTAGACATATCCATCCCTGTTATTTTCTGTTAAGAGCTACACTATTTATTTTTTTTTTTATAATGACATTTTAAAATTAAATTGTTTTTATGATGGTATTACACAGAGACTTTAGAAGTTACACAGGATGTTTATACAGACAAGAAATGCTCTTTTTCATGTTAGTCTCAAGGGCCTTACATAGCAATGTAATGGAAATAAATGGCAAAATTACTGTTTACCATCAAAGACCTTTGGGATCATTCCTGGGGAGAATGTTTTAAAATAGATAACTGTTTCCACTTTGAATTCTGGATATAAATCCTTATATAAATGAATATATGGATGATTGAAATTCTAGTCAACATTTTCATTCACAGTGGCTTGATAATGAGTTCGGGGACTCTGACCTTGTACACTAATTCAGCATATCCACAAGACCACAGCTCACAATTTAGATGTGAAGCATTACACAGGCTAAATAATTTTAATTTTCTTGGCATATGAAAAGATTTTTGGTTACAAGCTCCCTGTTTAGATTAAGTTTCTGATCTCTCAATAGAAAAAATTTGGATAGGGTGAGTTTTAAACTCTTTACTCTGTTCCAAATGCTTTTAACCATAGGAACATTTAATCATGAAGAAAAATAAAAGAATTAAATAGTGACACCATGTGAATTGTATGGTGAGGTAACTAATTAGAATACTTACCAATATTAAATATGCTTATAATTATCAAGAGAGATTGATCATTATATACAGTTATAAACAGCTGAATAAATCTTGTACAGTCTTTCTGTTTGGGAGATATTTTTTAAAAGACTTTTTTATTATCCATTTTTTGTAATACCCCTCAAAGCTACACATTATTATCTCTGATAAAGACTGGATTCTCTGTGCCTTTGTATTATGTAACCATCTATACGAGTACAATATCTGTAAATTATATTAAGGTGCAAAGGTGAAAAGCAAGTGAACAATGTATAAGGAATCTAACCCTAAGGACAAATAATTCTTGTATCATATTTGTAATATATTTAATGAAGCATTACCTTACAGAAGAAGAAAATAACAACTTTCAGTTAAAATTGAATTTAAAATAACTTTAAAATCTGAATTTTTATATTAATTTTTTAGTTCATTGTGAACTTGGACAGCTGTTGCTGCTGTGAAACATGAAGCTGGTTCATTGATAGCAGGGTAGCACTAACCCTTTAACCCCAGAGCAATCACATGTATCTGAAGATAATGCCTTATATTCTCTATCACAATATTTCAGAGTCTTAAGGGAGAAAGGAAAATAGAAGCACAAACATCTCATAGTAGCAGACATGTTTTTGAGAGTGACTGTCACCATGCCTTAGAGCTTGCAACAAGTATGTTTAAAGACTTAGCTTATATTTTACCTAACATTCATTGCCTAAAAGTAGACTTTTAGATTGCAATCCAGGTTTTCTTTCTACATCCACTGGATAAAGATAGGGATCTCCAGAGTATGGTTTATTCCATTCACCTTACATTAAGTTTAATGTCAGTCTCAGAACCGAATTGTCTTTTACGCTAAACTTAAACCGTAATTTAAAAGCAGTTATTAAAAGAAGACAGTGACTACAAACATTTCTTACCTTTGAAGCAGCGGTATTGTAGACCAAATATCAATTTTGTGATTCTGTATTATATATTTCACTGTTCACCATACCAGGATAAAGTGAGAAGAGGAGCTATGCAGGCTGATTGCAGGACACCAGGCTGATGGGGGCAGGTAGCAGACAGCACCCAATGGCCTCATTCTATGAGAATGTACAGGCTTAGCAAGATGCAGTTGCAGTTGGCTCCAAAACAGAGAAAAAAAATAATTCTTAAGCAACCTGTCCAAATAGCAATAGAAAAAACCTGTCGTACACTTTATTTTCTTGTACACATACACACATTTTTTGTTTTTCAGAAATACCTGTCATGTTTGCCTTTTTGTACAGAACCAAGCCTAATGGGCTTGGATCTATCATTTTCTTAGATCTCATCTCCTCATGATCTTATTGACAACTGCCACCATATCTTTTAACAGAGGGAAGATGAGCCAGAATGGACAAGAACCGGTAAAGCAGTCGGGAGTAGGATTAACCGATGCAGAAGGTAAAAAGAAATACAAACAACACTACAGTGGTATCCCATATTTGTAGAACCAATATGTTTATTTCTTTTACTTCTTATGCTGTGGAAGATTACCCTATGCTGTCTTCGTATTATATATTAAGATCCTCACTTTCATTTACCCTAAAGGCCCTTTCACACAGCATCAGTGTGATGAGTCTTCAGTTTAAATGAGAACAGTGTCTTACCTGTTTACTAAAAGTAATTAAACACTTAGATCGCAATGAATAATATCTGTCCTGATGTTCATTGCTTTTCATGGTGTTGGAATAAAAAATATGAAGTGTAGAGCTGCCTCAATACCCATTATATCAGAAGAAAATATCCAATGGCTGTAAAAGTCTATTTTTATAACATTTCAGAATATTTACTTTATAAAATAATTATTAATTTTGCTGTCTACATAAAACATTAAGTTTAACTGAAAATTTTAGCTGACGATCAAACTTGACTATGGCACTTAGACTATAGTGAAACTCTTGTCTGATTGGGAAATCCTGAGTGATTTTTTTTGTGTGAATGTGGTGCTGCCAAAGACGGAGACATTGTAATATTGGATCTGGAAAGAGCCCGACAGAATGGCTGTCAAAGTTTCATGAGCAATGTGATTACCTCTTTCATGTGCAATAATGGACAACTGCATGAAAATTAAGAGTGTTTTGTATTGAAGGATATGTTAGGAAAATTCCATTTCCCTTTACACGTAAGATATTTTATTTCAAGTGTATGTTTCTGTTGACCTCAAATATAAAACTTAATTATCATGACCTTCATTTTATTATTAAACTACTACTTTTATCATTTTAATGCATTACAATGCAGCTTTGGGGGTTTAATTAATTCATAAATTGAAATTCATATATACAATTGAAGTTAATGTCATGTTAAGTTCAGCAGTAAAAAAAAAGAGGTTTCTGCAATCTGTATACATGGTGAAATAATTGCTGTTGATATATTTGAGGTAAAAGTGGTCCAATATTCCACAGATTTGAAGAAATCAAATTAGAATTTGAAGGTAGAACTGTAAAACTGTCTTTTCCAACGCAAGAATTCATAACTGTGTATATGCATTCTACTAAATCTTTCAGTACATAGTACTCATTATACAAAAATCCAAATTCAGCTGCTTGTCAAACTTCAAATTGCTCAAAGGTATTCTTAAGTATTTGAACAAACTCTTTTCTAAAAGAGAAATGGTGGGATGAAAATGGGAAATCAGGAATTTTCCATTTTTACTTTGTTATGATGTGTTTTATACAGAATACTAATTGTAAACAAACAGCTTTTCATCATTTTGTTCATCATAAATTCCCACTTAGGTAAGGTTTTGGGTCAGAGTATTTTAATTTAATGTTTGCATCTTTCAAAAAACATCCCAAACATACAGATCCAAACAAAAAGAACACCTTTTGAAACATTCCAAAAGATGCGTATATAGCATTTCATCACTAAAACTAGTTTTCCAGCCAAAGGCATGTTTCTCCTCATCTTAAAAATCTGCAAATAAGTCAAGAGCTGCAATTCCTTAATTTTCACTTATGATACAATTCACTTCTCCTAACTCAACAACTGTAAGAATTACAACTCCAAATCTGATAGTGAGTGGTTCTTACTAAACATTGGATCTCCCCGGTGGGAGAAGGTGGGGCAACCAGCCTAGTTTTTAGTGTCTGATTTCTGGCTGACTAAGATGGGACAGATCAATCTCAAATGATAAATTAAACCAAAAGTTGGAAAACGACTCAAGAGCATTTCAGTTTCAGCATGTAAATATAATTATCTTGCAGGGAAGTAATTCATAATTCATAACTCAACATTAACTGATAATAACTTCAGTATTATTGAATTATTGTGGTATTCTTTTCATAGATGAACAAAATTGAATGAAAATCTTAAAGATCAAATGGTAACATTTCTGTAGTGCACTTACCTGTGTTGTGGACCAGATGTGCTCTCCAATTAACTGGAAGTGAATACTCATTCCCATTTTTCATTAATCTGTAGAGAGCTCCCATAGTTGACATTTGTATTCTCATTTGCAAATAAGGATTTAGTGTTATACTTAAAAACTTTTAATACTAGTACTATTTTTACATTTTCAAATCTTCTTGATGGATAACTTCTGTGAATAATAGCCTGTGGATTACTCTCTTTAAAACCATGCAGAATAAATTCAATTGCTTAAACATGTGGATCTACTGCTACTTGAAATGTTTTAGTCATCTATGTCATTCACACAGGCCTGGCAAATATGGCAGGAGACTTACAGAAGCAAGATCTTTAAGAATAGTAGCTGGAGATAAACCAAGTTAGGATTCTCAAATGGCAATGAAAACTGGTTTCTAGGCAGTGCAATCAAACTGTAGCACCAGGGTTTGGATTCAGCTCACAGGGTATGACACCAAAATTAGTCATGTACATAAGTGGAACCACCAGGGAAAAAAATATGCACCTTTTGTAATTGTTTCTCCACTTGAGAAATGTGCTAATGTTTTCTTGGGAATAGTTTTTGTGCTATTAAGTTGTATCAGTTAAGTTATAAGTAAATATTGGAAAACAGTACTATTTACTTTGCTGACACAACCAAATAGTCAATATAAATAACTGTGAGTATTGCTATGATAATCTTTGTTTCTCTGAACATACCATCTTGTCATATTCTGTATTTTCATACTACTTAATAATATAAAATAATTCAGACATGTTCTTGGACGCTGTATTACAGTTATTTTTATGATATGCATTGTTGCATGCTATCTTACACTGGACATTTTTCCCTGAGCAGATGAAATACTTCATCTTCTTAAACTTCAGTAAATCTTATGATACATATTGTGATTTCATTGAGTTATGCAAACCAATTTCTCTATTAGTTTCAGAAAGTGCAATATCTTTTGTTTAAAGATCTCTTATGAAATGCTATGGAATATAACAGATATTATAGACAAAAAACCAATTGCATTCCATGTAAGGATTGAAACTAACAATTAAAAGCACATGATTAATAACTTGATCCAGTCGTAGATCATGATTGGTTTATCTGCCCTATGAAACTTCTCAGCCAATAGATCCCAGATGGTATTTTTCACCTACCACCTATTTATCCAATTAAGAAATATATGAGGAAAATTATTTTCCCCATATTATTTCAAAAGTGGAAATCTACTAGACAATCCCAAACTGTCATTATTTCTGGTAGAAGATATATATACACACACATATTTATATATGTGTAAAAATAAAATTTTAGATGAAATAGTTTACTATAAGGAAATTTGGATCTTCTCATTTTGAAGATGCTATAGATATGCGAAATATCATTCTGCTAGGATTACAGACATTGACATCTCTGTTTGAGATGTACCAAGATCTCAAAGTGTCTTTTGGAAGGACGGTTATGTTGGTAAGCATGGCCCAGCTTCACTCATTCAGTATTTTTTGAAATGAATGAATATCACAGTGCTTCTGTCATCCTCTGTGCTTGGCCTCATTGTCAGGATTTTCAGTCATAAAACTCTAAACTTTTTATAGGAACAGAGTGGCTTCCCGCCATCACTCTGTCCTAAGAGAGTGGGTTTTTTACTTAAAAAAAAAAAAAAATATTCCCATCCAGTCCATGTCCTGAGTACCGAAAACTTCTCTACACGGTTCTGCCATGGCTCACTTTCTGCCATTTCCAGTGGTCGTTTGAGCTTCAACTTCTGAGTGCAGTAAAATGAAGTCCTGTAAGTAAGAATCTCTCGGCCTGTATAACGACTGAACCTGGACAGAAAATTGCAGAATATTCTAGTAAAGCCTCTACAGATGTATTTCTACACGCAAGCAGAAGAAACAAATACTTACTCTGTCAAAATCTGATGACGCACACATACTTACTGAACTTCTGCAAGACGATATACTATTCATACGCAGTCATTGTTTACTTTAACAAACTCTTACAGGGTTTTCCTTTTTTGGATGCTGTGTATTTTCCTGAGTTACAGATTTAAAAAAAAAAACCAGCATCAAACAAAAAAGCTCTGAAATAACATCATGCTTTAGCAGGCAAATTTTGCAATACTCTGACTTTTATTTTATCTATTCAGAATAGGTTTTTTCCTCAATTTTTGAGCTTTTTGATTCATCAACCTGGATTAAAACTAAAAAATTTGGTTTTAACAGTTTCATCACATAACATTGGATTTCACTACTTAAGACAGTTTAATATTTATTTATGAGAAAAATGGTTGAATCACAAACCTTAAAACAGGCTAGCAGGTCATTCTAATAATGTTTTGGAGCAAAGGTGCATGACCTTTGTGAGTGGGTGACTGGAAATCATTTGACTTGTAAATTTTCCCTTATTGCTTTCTGAATAGTTCTGGCAAAATTTTCATTCATCATATCTGCACAGAATAGACCCCGGAGCAAATTATCTTGCAAACTGTGTCGCGTTTTGTCTTGAAGGGATGCCCAGGAGTCATATGTGAATTAGCTCTCTCAAGTAAAACAAGGCATGAAATAAACTGACAGCACAGGCACATATAAGCATCGCCATGTTCTTCGAAGTAATTAAAATTCAGTAAAAGATTCATACTCTTTTCATTTGCTTTTTAGTTAGGCTAAAGTAACTCTGTTTAAGACAAAGGAGTCACTGTGGTATCACTGAGAAAAGACTAAGGGCTTTAGATGTTTCTTAAATCAGCTTGCTGCACTTCCACACTTAAAAAAAATAGCATTTCTATTTTTTTAACTACAGTGGTTGAAATATCAGTACTATAATATTAGTCCTCATTAATCTGTTCAGGGAGAAATTGTCTTACTTTTAGACTTTCGATCAGAAAGTTATAAGTAAGAGGAGAAAAACGGCAGATGAAGAATCACAATACAGTTACTGAGATTTGCAAATGCTTTGGCCTATGCACAAATCTGTACTTTGATGTCTTGGTAGGCCAGCCTGAAAATATGGGTTTTACTGCAGATAAGAAATTTTCTTGAAGTTAACTGTATTATTTCACAAAACAAGAGGACTGAGAGATCAGATTAAAATATGATGCTTAATATTCATGAAGGAGGTTATAATTAGAATTTAACTTCTTGCCAGATTAAAATTAAGGTGAATTTTATTGCCCTTGCATGAGCACTGGTGACTTGGAATGAAAACACTGAGACTGGTAGCAATGTAGGACAGAGATCAAGTAAATATTAGATTTATGTAACTTTAGGATCATCTGACACTTCGCTTCTTTTCATAATCAAGTCCAATTTATATCTTTGTACCTATTAGTAGGTAACTTCTGTGAAACATAACTTCAATTTAGGTCATCTGACATGAATACCAGAAGGACTTATTTAGCTGTTTTTCCCTCACAAGTATTTTTCTCTTTAACTGTTCTTAAACATAAAAAAAAGAATTAGAAAGGAAGCAAACATTACAACATTTATAGACACTTCCTGCACAAAGGTGCATAAGGGAAACCAGATGATAAAACATCTACTTGCTTATTTTAAAAGTTCTCTGATATTTAACAGAGAAGCACTGTAATTTAAGAATGAAAACGCAAAATATGTGATAAAAAGACTAAGACAGATGTTATGAGTTTGGAAAACAGGGATTTGGGGTTTGCATGAATTCATGGAAGGAAGCAGATTTTCTTGTGGTTTGATGGCAAAATTAGTGGAATTCCCACTTTGGGGAAGTGTTGTGAGGCTCATGCTGGAGGATGTCCGTCTCAGAAGGAGAGAGGTGAAGGTCCCCCTCTACCACATTGTCAGCTCTTGCATACTATGGGGCTACAGGATAAAAAGTCAGCCTTGCTGTAAAATAGACAAATACCAGTTATTATCCTGATAGCAGCCAGTTACAGGCAGCAAATCATTCCTGGTGTGCCTCCAGAGCCCAGCAGCACTGTATTTTGAGACTACATCCTCACTTTCTGTGAGTACTGGTTGGTACACCACGACTTTAGGCCAGTGCTATAAAGTATGTCAGCATCTAGTTTATGTCCTGGAATTTGCCCCTGCAGCTATCTAGGTCTCCTCATGGACTATATGATGAGTGCAAATACTCTAGACATTCTACCCTTAATTTCCTTTGGTATAAAGGAAATTCTCTACTAATCTCTAACAGTTTATTTCTAATGATTAAGTCAACTGCCTCTTTTGCTCAGTCAGTAATCAGAAAAAATTATAGTAGATTACTTCTTCCAGAAGGTTCAGCTATAGAATAATAAAACACAACCTGCAAAATGAGTGAGTTTAGACAGAACTCATATTTGTTACTGATACTCAAAATGGTTGATGACTTGATTGAAAGCAGCCCTGCAGAGAAGAACTTGGGGGTACTGGTGGATGGGAATTTGGACATGAGCCAGCAATGTGCACTTGCAGCCCAGAAAGCCAACTGTATCCTGGGCTGCATCACAAGAAGCATGGCCAGAAGTACAAGGGAGGTGATTCTGTCCCTCTACTCCACCCTGGTGACCTCATCTGGAGTTCTGCATCCGCATCCTGGGCTGCATCACAAGAAGCATGGCCAGAAGTACAAGGGAGGTGATTCTGTCCCTCTACTCCACCCTGGTGACCTCATCTGGAGTTCTGCATCCGCCTCTGGAGCCCTCAGCACATGAAAGACATGGACTTGTTGGAGAGAGTCCAGAGGGAGGACCACAGAGATGGAGTACCTCTCTTGTAAACAAAGGCTGAGAGGGTTGGGGTTGTTCAGCCTGGAGAAGAGAAGGCTACAGTGAGACCTTATTATGGCCTTACAATATATAAATAAATAAAGGGGGCTTATAAGAAAGACAGAGACTTTTTACCAGAGTCTGTAGTGACAGGACAAGGAGCAACAGTTTTAAACTGAGAGTAGATTTAGATTGGACATCAGGAAGAAATGTTTTACAATGAGGATTGTGGGACACTGGAACAGGTTTCTCAGAGAAGTTGTGCATGCCTCATCCCTGAAAAAGTTCAAAGCCAGGTTGGATGGAGCTTTGAGCAGCCTGATCGAGTGAAAGATGTCCCTGCCCATGATGGAGCAGTTGGGCTAGATGATCTTTAAAGGCTGCTTTCAACCCAATTTTTTCTATGGTTCTGTGGCATGAAAGAAGTGACAATAATTATTGAACGGTTCAATACACAAGCTGCAAATACTCCTGTACTATGTGAGTGGTATTCCTGGAACAGTTGCCCACTTAGACAAAGGTGTTTTGCAGATATAGAAGCAGAAACACTTTTATCCTTCAACAGTGGTTTCTTCTGTAGCTTTGATTAGGACCTTCACACATCTCACTCGCCAGTGTTTTGGTTTAAATAGATGCAGTCAGTGACTTTATGTGAGGAAAATTTCTCCTTTTTCCAGTTCCTTACCTTCATATTGAGCTTCACTTACTGAAGCAACATCAGAATGCCACATGTATAGTAATGGGTAGTAAGAGTCTGAGAACTGTTATCTCCAAGGAAAATTGGAAGTATCATTATACATTATACAACTGCTCACTTTTATGTTTATGTTATGAAGTAACTGAATAGACAGAGGAATTGTGAATCCACTTGCCCAAGGTTACTAGCAGGAGTAGAATCATAGAATAGAATCATAGAATTGTCCAGGCCGGAAGGGACCTCCAAAGGTCATCTAGTCCGACCTCCCCCAAGTCAGCAGGGACACCCCCAACCAGACCAGGTTGCCCAGGCTTCGTCAAGCCTCACCTTGAATATCTCCAAGGATGGGGCCTCAACCACCTCCCTGGGCAACCCGTTCCAGTGTTCCACCACCCTCACAGTCAAGAACTTTCCCCTACTCTCCAATGTAAATCTGCTCCCCTCCAGCTTAAAGCCATTTCCCTTCGTCCTGTCACTGCAGACCTTTGTAAACAGGCTCTCCCCAGCCTTCTTGTAGGTCCTCTTCAGGTACTAGAAGGCTGCTATTAGGTCTCCCCGGAGCCTCCTCCTCTTCAGGCTGAACAACCTCAGTTCCCTCAGCCTGTCCTCGTAGCAGAGGTGCTCCAACCCCTGATCATCCTTGTGGCCCTCCTCTGGACCTGCTCCATCAAGTCCACATCTTTCCTATATTGAGTGCTCCAGGCCTGCACACAATACTCCAGGTGAGGTCTCACCACAGCAGAGTAAAGCAGAAGAATCACCTCCAAGTAACCTCCAATTAACCTACAAATCATACAGTAAAATATATTTTTTTTTCTTAAGTTTAGTTAAACTCAACTTCATCTTCTGGAGACAAAATTCCTAACTCCTACAACATAATCCCTGACTCATAACACACTAGCAATAAATGGATCAGCAATAAATGACCAAGTCAGAACCAGTCACTTTCACAATAGCAGAGAAGTTACATTATTTTGGAATAGTTCCATATTTCTGCACCAAGGCTCAATCCAGTTCTTTTCAAGGCCTTTTTAGACTGGTATCTCAAAACCACAGAGAGCACCATCTATTTTGTTCTTGAGCACATGTCAAATACTATCTTTTTCCTGTTTGTTGCTTTCCCGATAATTCAAATATCTCAGGAGTTTTGAACACTTAATCCCAACATATACTAAACATCACAGAACCTGAAAAAACAGTCTGGACTTTCAAGGGTTTTTCTTGAATCAATAGAATCTTGTCCTGACTAAGTATGAGCCTGTTGACTTGATTGTAATAGATGTTGACCCATGGATTTAAAGAGAACTCCAGCCAATCAGCAAGGTAACCAACACTGATTTGAACAGTGGTTGAATTGCATTTTTTGGTTTTGAGTTCATGTCCAGTAATACGTAGCAGAAGAAATTGCTGCACACTCTCAATGTCTGTCCTCAAGAGCAATATAAGCCAGGTGATCTCTTTTTTAAAACACATTTTAAGCGGCTGTAATATCTGCTTTTAGTCTTATTGCCATTCTGATTTACATGCAGATGAGTTCAGTTTGTGAAATAAAATGCTACTGAGTAAAATGTGATCCTTGCCCAGGAAAAGAGCTAAATGAAAGAATAAGGTATTGCCAGACTTCTCTACTATCTCTATAAATAAAAAGGCTAAAATTCAACCTGGCATTGTTTAAACTGTCTTTAATATAAAATCACAACCTTGCTTTCTGCCATTAGGTTCTACCAAAGGTCTACTGTTTATTACTCTTGACAGCGTAAGATTAATCAATGCCAACAAAATTTAAAGCAGAAAATACCAGCAAGAGTGATTTCTTGTATGAGTACTTGCTTCAGTACAGAGGAGAAAAGAGACACAAGGGAATAGAAAATAAGTAACAAAAACATTTGCAGCTAACCTGTCGCATGTTGATCCCCTCATATGACACCTTCTTCGTATCTGGAATGCAAATTTTAATTTCAAAAATTGAGAAGATCAGATATGTTTTCTATCTTAAGGGATCCTCAAGTAATGAATCAGGCTTGTGCACTGACAGTAGTCCTTATCCTCTCTTTTTTTTTTTTTTTTTTTAAAGCTACCTATAATATTTTACACATGCTCCCTCAAGCTACAAATTGCTATACTAACAATACCTAAATACCACACTAATTTGAAGAAATGATTCAAGACAAAGAGCAGCAGTATTGTAAAGCTAAGAATTATAAGCTTCCTCCCTTATTCTGGGAAACATTTCTTTTTTTTCTATCCCTGATTGGCTCAGTACTCTACTTTGCCCACCTGGCTCTCCAGTAATGATAGGAGCAATTAGTTCTTCCTTCCTGAGGTATTTGCCAGTATAATCCAGCTGCTTTTCCTAAGAAGAAGCAGAAAGAATTTAAATAAGAATAAAGACTTCAGCCAGAGATAGAATCATAGCGGAAAAAAGGACAAAATAATTTTCTGTATTCTTGTATCCACATCACAAACAACATTGCTTTACATAGCTACAAATCATCCTGTTCCTGAATCATTATTATAAATTGTCATTAAGGAGAAGTAAACAATCCAGAGAGCCTGACTGTGATTAACGGCTGGCCAGCAGCTTGTGCCCAACTTGTATGAAATGGGACTGGAAGGCTGTTTGCCATTAACTCATGTGGCAAGAAGAGTGTAAAAAACTTGATTTTTTTTTTAAGCTTTCATTAAAAAAAACCCCATTTTTTCCCGTGAGAAAATTAACAAATACTAAGAAGACAAGCAAGCAAAAAGAAAAACAGGAAAGCCTGAAAGGATATATATTTCACCTTGAAACCAAAATATCACCCTATGATATGATGCTTCAATAATCAGCTGGCAAGATAATTTTCTTGCCTAATATTCTTAATCACTTTTTTTTGCCTAGCTCTTAAACACATCTTCAGTAACATGAAGCTGCTTAAGTCTTTCAGGAGGTTTCTTCCAGTGACTCATTGGAGACATAATGGGATCAGAGGGTTTGGGCTGGGACTGGGAATCAGATTGCTAGTAATTCCCTTAAAAATCTGACAAAGCTACACAGTTTCACTTCTGGAAAAAAAAAAAAAAAATCATTTTGATAGAAGTCTGTAATTTATGTCTTTTCTAAAGATAAGGTTATGAAGGAAATATAATTTAATACTAGCTGGCACATTCAGTACAAATACCATTTAATAATGAAGACCTTCAACACGGGAAAACAAACAGGGGGATCTCCTCACCAGAAATGGAGTAAAGGTGAAGATACTGGAGTATATGATTACTGGACCTGAGCCTTGCCGGTGTAAATCTGAAGAAGGGCTACTTCACCTAGTGAGTAATTTAAAACATCTTTGAAATAGAGTCACTTTTCATGATCAGTGTCCATTTAGAATCAGCAAAAGTCAGGTTGAAGTATTAATATGATAGAAAATGAATTGGTAAATCCTAAATAAATTCCCCTCTGTGATGAAAATGAAGCTAGGAGATACTGAGTAGGGTTTTTTAAATGTCATCTTTCTGGATAACTCATGTGATCTCCTAATTTAGCAGTGTGATTAGGACCTGGAATTTTGTGCCTACTTCAGGAAAAAAGTAAGTAAAATAGATCTGTTTTAAGGTCCGTAATATTCAGTACTTTCATATGTATGAGCTATTATGAAGCAGGAATAGGGTTGAGGGGACCTCAAGAGGTCATTCCATTGCTTCAGAACACAATATTGTTCCTAAAAGGTTTTTGCTAACCTGCAACAAAGATTTCTTAGTGGTGATAGAGACTTTACAGTTTCATTAGACAGTCTGTTCTACTGCTTGATTATCCTTGACGCTAAATTGTTTTTCCTAACTTCTAGCCTCATCTTGCTTTCTGAAATTACTATTCAGGGAGAGAAATAAGAATCCAAAGCCTAAGCTCTTCCCCTCAAAACATAGCACATTTTATCAAGCACTTCTTATAAATAGATTTTTCTAAGCTTGCCTACAAATGATAACACAGCTGTTCCTACCAAACAGTTCTGTATTAGAGCACCGCTTTTGTTGTATTTATATGAAATGTCAAAAAAAAAAAAAAAAAAAAATTTTATCAGGTGACAGCAGTTCTGTAATGGTCCTGTGCTATAAAATACAAATGTAATACTTCTGCATGAAGTATAGAATATTTTTCTTTGTTAATTTTTTTTTATACTGAAAAGTAAAAAAAAAAAAAAAAAAAAGAATATCATAGCCTGTTGGCTTAATAGTCCTTTGTAGCTCCTTAATGTTTGTAACTCATGTAAAAGGAGCTGGTATTGTATTATATATGTGTGGTTTAGAAGATTAGTTATTATTTATTTATTTTTCTAGATAATTTATAACTTCAAAATTAAACTGTTATGCTGGGGATTCAGAAAGGAGATTTTTTTTATTTACCCTCACATGATCTTTTAGTATAAACCCTTTTTTTAGATTGCTGTTCAAACAATTATCTTGGAATGCTGTTTAAATGCAGATGAATCTAGAGCATTTCCAGGTGGGATCACATGGCAAGCTAAAATTAAACTTCAGCTGATATTTATGTTAGCATGTGAAACTACTTAGAATTATTGGACTGTAAGTTGTGTTTGAAGACAGACGTTTTTGAAAATCGGTGTATTAGAATGAATATAATTCTTTCCCATGATGAAATTGCCTAGATATATCTGATTCTCATGGTAAAGAGTCTGCTTTCATATCTGTAATTAGAACCTTGCGCTTTGTCCCCAGTTTATTTTCAGATTAATGTGATTTTGATAATGCTCCATGTTCGTTATTTCATCCTATGGTAGTAGTCTTACAGGCTTGTAGCATTAATGAAATGCGTTAGCTCTTGCAGCAGCATGTGAATAATGTTTTGTCTGTTAAGCAAAGGCTTCAGAGTGTGTATTTCTCTTAAAGAATTCCTAACAGTTTGTCCTGTGCAGGCATTTGCAATTACTTTAGGGTACTATATGTTGCTCTTCCTTTTTGTGCATTATTTATTCTGAAACTGCTGGGCTATGGCTGGAAGGGAATCAAATGGACAGAATACTAGCCAAATCTAGTGGCAGAAAGTAACATACTGTGTATGTAGAGTAGGATGCAGTTTATGTACCTTTATCTAGGAAGGGATTCAGGGGCTTTAAACATAGGTGTATCCTGATGTTTTAAATGCCCTAAAGTATTTTTCTGCCTCAAGCTGGTTGTTGCTCCAGAAAGTCAGGGGTATCTTTGTCACATCTGCCATTCCTGACCAGATACTTAGTTTCAATAGGACATCTTAAAGGACCCAGATCCACATGTATATAGGCATAAACCTGATTTGCTTCCGCAGACAAGAGAGTATTCAGGGTTCCCTGCAGAGTCAGCTTCCGGGAGTGTCAGTCCTTTCCCATTATCTGTTTAGAACAAAAAGGTTATAATGAGATTTTTAAACATTTATTTTTGCTTGCATATTTAAATTTTAGATGACTGATATCAGATGAGAATAGTTCTACCAAATGGTCTCCGGGTTTGCATGTGTGTTAATGCTATCATTGCATAGGTCTTTCTTTTCTGAAACACACATTGGTGTGCTTTATTTTTGTTATACTTTCTTTTTTAAGCTTTCTTTGGTTTTTTGTCTGCCACATTGACTTTGCACTCTGACTGCCTGTGATGTGATAATAACATAACATGACTGAATTTCCATGCCTTGGAAAAATGCACAAAGCTTCTGGAGATCAGCTGGGTCAAACATCTGATACATACAGCTGCCTTCATGTTTCACGCTGCTGTAGTACCTAGAAGTTCACATATTTTTCAAAAGTCTGGTAACATACTGCCTACGATAATTAGTCAATTTGTGAAAAAGCCCCATATGTAACTGGCATCAATGCCTGCTGGGTATGCTGTGGATTCTTACTGTTTCCTCCTGCTGCTCATCTAATATCTATAGCATTTATTCACTAGCCTCCTGATTGCCTTGGCTGCACTGGGCTGAGTGTTTTGCTTTTTAGAGACATATTCTTGGAATACTATGTTACATTTTTCAAGGAACTGGGTTCTCACTGATCAATTATTTGACTTTTTTTATAAACGATGCCCTTCTCACGAGTCTGATCATCTTAAGAGTATTCTTACTTGGCAAGTAAAGGAGAAAAAAGGGAGGCTTTCCTTCTTGCCTCTGGACATTTGAGAGAGTAACAAACATAGACATGTTGACTCATTTATATTTTGGTTTTAAGGCTATTTGGTACTTTCTTTATGTTTTAAAGCTGTATGGAAAGTCTCTGACTTTATACAGAAACATTTTTCACACTATTTTCCATATTTGAAGAAGTAAAGCCTACACAGTATCCACACTATCTTCCCTCATACTCAATGCTGTCTTTTCAAACATTTTTACAAAGCAAAATTACCAAAATTCCTACAAAATTATACTACATAATTTGGAAACTATACAGTATAACCATAGGTTTTTTCTACACGAGAGATGGCGTTTCCAAAGAAAGGAATCTGAGCAGTATTAGAAAGAAAATGAAAGAAAGTTAACAAGACAAATATATTTTTTTCTTGCTGGTGAACACGTTGTGCACAAAACCAGCTTTCACATCAAAAGGAAAACAGACTTTGGGAAGCAGAGCCTAGGAGCTGCTCTTCACCTCTCCTTATCAACAGCACCTTACCCAGGTGTTGTTCCATTGACTAAAAGGGCTACTTCAGAGTTACAGAATTGTACAAAGAGAATGAGACATTGAAGAGCCTCAGCTTGCCTTCAGAAAATGACTTGAGTATACTTTTCTGGAATTTTATAAAATAAGGACTAGTGTTCTGTTTTTATTGGGAATACTTGCAAGAATCCTACAACATGAGAAATAGATTTTTCCAGTTTACCTTCAGCAGTGGAAACAATGTGAAAGCATATTGCTTTCCATCAGAAAACAGAAAATCAACCAAAATGAGTGAGCCAAAGCCAGGTTTCCTAACATAACTTTTGCCATTCTCTCAACAAAACCCAGTAACTAATATGTCACTGTACGTCATGGAGTTTTGCCCAGCCTCTTAAAATTGGCTTGTTGAATCAAACTGGTTGTATACAGGTACATATTTATTAAGAAGGAGGAAAGGTAAAGAGGCTGTAGCCTCCTCATAAATGTCTCATCATTTTGGATGTGTGCCTTGTCACATTGTGAGGGAAGGACTGCACTGAAATCACAGATGCATCCAAGTATAATATGACAAATCAGTTCCCTCTTTATTGGCAGCATCTACTGCCCTCAGGTTACTTGTTCTGAATCAAATTCCAAAATTAAATATTGCAGTTTTCCTGCCAAACAAAGCTGAGTAATTTGTTTCAAGTAAAATTTTCTGCCACTAGCTAAAGATTCTAAATTGAAGACAGCTTGAAAAATTGATATAATATGAAATGATGCAAATCTTGGGAGAAAGGACACACACACAAACAGTCCAAACACATTCTTTCTTCCTTGGCCCTCTCTGGGATTAACTGAATATACAGACGTATATTTAAAGCATTGACCAAAAGAAAGAATTATTCTGATTTTTGCTATAATTTTCACAAAAAAAATCTTTCTTAGGGATACTATGTCTGTTATTATTATAAATTAAATAAAAGAAGTCAGATCTTTTTTGATTCATTTTGTCAGTTTATCTACATTCTTACCTGAATAAGCCCAATTACACAATAACAGATTTTTTTTCATAATAAATAAAGTCAACAAACTTCTCAAAACAGATTTTCCAGAAGATTACAATTTTAAATTAAAAATATATGTAATAAAATCTTAGGAAGGTATGCAAAAAATGGACAACTTTCTTACCTAATTTCTTAATGAGCCATTGGAATATATAACCTGATCTTTATAATGTAGTTTCCCATGACAAAATGAGGGTTCCAGTACATTCTCAATTGCCTGAAACGCTTTGCAAATACTGGTTGTGAAGCCTTGTGTAAATAACTTTTCTGATGGTACCAAGTTACTTCTGATGGTTAGTAGAGGAACTTCAAGGTTTCTGCATCATTTTATTAAGACAATGGAGTTAGCACCCAAAGAAAATGCTTCTATCTGGAGATGTAGATAGTGCACACTGAGAATTCTGTCCTCACATCGGTCTGTCTTAACTATTATCTTTGCAATATCAAATGAATATTTGAAATTACATTCAACTCATTGCAATAACATAAAGCTCAGGCATGCGTCACTAAGGTGTTATTGGCACCCACCCAAAATGGCATTAGGAGGAGAAACTGCTGATGGTCTGTCCCTCTGCTATTCTCTTGGAAATTTTCATAGAGGCACTGTGTACCTGGTGTTCTTAGAAGCACTCATCTATTTATCCACCTGTAGACAAATTAATATTGATTTTGGATGAATATTTTTACCTTTAGCATGAATTCAGTATGACTGTGAAACCCTCAGTAGACAACCAATCTTGTGGAGTCTCATAAAAATTGTAGCAGCTCAGAAGTTCATAGAAGATCAAAATCCATAACTGTCCAGTCTACCTTGCATCAAATCTAACCTCTTTGTAGGCAGGCAAAGATCTACAAAAATAACCTAGGCACAAGATATGGGAAAAAATGCAGGGATAAAAAATTCTCCAAGCAAAATTATACTGAAAAAAAATAATCTCAGAGATCGCACAAAACACTTCACTAAGCAAGCTGAGCATGATTGTGATAGCAAATTCAACAGTGACAGAGACCTACAGTCTAAAAGCAACTGCTTCCCTGCTTTACATTACTTCTGAAAAGAGTGTCTCTGACATCACTATGTTCATGCAGGCTGCATCTAGCTTATTGTTATGATTCAGAGCAGTAACACAGCTTTGAAATAAATCATGACCAATGATGGGTTCCTTTAGACAGAACTGGACCACATGCAGAAAAGCAGCATTTGTATCACAGACCAGAGTAATTCCAATTTCAAGTTAAAGCTCTCAACCTTATATGATGTAGGCACCTCAGAACCAACTGCTTTTATCTACTGATTTGTTCATATTGCTCCAGATTAGTGCCATGTAGACACAGTAACAGATACTGAAGCAGATACATTTAAACACAGTTTTAAGTTTTGACACACAACCTAGTTTTCTACTGATCTTTAAAAATGCTATATATGAACAAAAATAAAAATATACACACCTCTTTTTCCATATTGTCATCCCGTGATCAGTTTGGTGAGAAGACCCCTTTGTGCCTGTCACGCAAAACGAGATAAATGTGTCAGCTGCCATATCCTACAAGAAATCAGACAAGATAGATGTGAACCATGATGAACATTTCATCTCTTTCTACCGCACTGCACTGAGGGAAAGTCTCTAAAAAAAAGGCTTTCTTGTCTTTTTGAGCAGGAAATAAATATTCACAAGAACATCCCACAACATTTTGTTCTTCCCATTTAACCTTTTCCTTATATTTTTTTTCTCATCCTACGTTGCTCATTTTACATGAACTGAATTGATCTATAAGGACGTGGTAGTTTTTTATATATTCATCTCAAAACATACATTCAATGCTCTTAATGAAAGAGATATTGTTGAGTTTTGTTGAAGATGATCAGGATTCTTTTGTTTGTTTGTTTTTTTAAATTCTCTTTTTCACTTACTAAATGAACAGAATTAAGTAAATTAATTTCTCTCTATATATATTCATTCATAAAATTATATTAAACTTATTATTTCATAAAGCTTTCAGAATTCAAATCATGCTTATAATAGCAAAGAATGCCTCCAGTGAGTTAGTTAGTGAGTTTTGCCATTGAAAGTCAGAATTCCCCATAAAGACCTTTGCATTCTGCAGTAAGTTGTGCAATAAAGTACTTTAATGTATTTAATTGTGTTATATAGGACATGTTGCTATACTACAATATAAAGTATAGAAGTGCACATGGTCATGATATACGTAAGTGACATACAAAGTCTAATAGATGTAGTGGGGTAGATTAATATTGTGCAACAGTTTAGATAAGGACGTACTCCATGTAAGTCACTGGCATCTGATCAGCCTAAGATCGGTGTGAGAGAAAAGGGTTCACACAATGAGAAACTTTCAAGTACTGTGAACACAGGAGCAATGCTGGAGAGTGCAGAAAAATTAGGATTAAAGCATTTAGCTGACTGAGCAGCTAAAGTGCTGAAAATGATCCCTGAAGGTGGGAAGTCTGTCCTCTGTGCAACTCTGAGCTCAGACTCTGCAGCTTTTACTTTATTCTTTAGTGTGGCAGCACTTTTGTCCTACTCTGCCTATGATCCTTAACTTCCCAGGTTTTCACTGGATTGATTCACTGTACTGTGTTTACTTTAAATAAGCAGTACTTTATTTCAGAGTGTTGCTTATACAAATGCAGGAATCTGTTGCAGCATAGTGTTGGAATTTAGATCACCTGTCTTATCCTCAGAGAAATAGCCAAACCATGCAATTTTTGGGCTCCCCTACTCACTTAGTTGGTTTCAGTACTGATGTCAGTGGTGTTTGGGTTGGTTTTTTTTTGTTTTGGTGGGTTTGTTTTGTTTTGTTTCGTTTTGGTTTTTATTGCAGTTAGATTCTGAAATGGAATTTGAAGTTAATTTAGGTAGCTATAATGTCACAAACTTAAATTACAGTAGAGTCTAAGCATTTAGTGTTGATTACTGCAACAAGCTAATACTTTGTGCTGCATCAAGGTAGGTTTAATATATGTAGATTCCTAGGATTACGTCAACTTCAATAATATATATGCATACTTTTCTACAAATGCACATATATTCATACACATGTGTGCATTTATATATACATATATGTGCACAAATATAAATAATTGACTCACGCCCATATCTTTACACATATATACAAATACTTATATAAATTATGACCTTGTAATAGTCCTACATACATGTTTAGAAAAAAACACCCTCTCTTCTGAATTAAGTGCTTCATCTGTGCTGATCCATCAGTCAAAATATCACTTTTGTTTCTTGAGCTTTTATAATCTGGAAAATAAATGTTACTATTTGTGACTGCAACGGATCAAAAAAAAAAACCCGACTGTTTCATACTGAGTCTCACACAGAAAGGCAATGAATCCTATTAATCTCATTCAGTTTTAAAACTGACTTTCATGTGTTCAACTCATTTAATGGTATTTTTTATTTAAACACATTTACAATAATATAACGATTAATGATGTTGTTGGCAATTTCTTTTGGATCTTAAATAGAAGATAAGGAGATTTCTGGTCTGATCCTTTAGATTTTGCAAACAGCACCTGCTTAAGTAGACTAGGAATTTGTCTGAATAGTAAAAAAAATTATTTCGTTCTTATACTCAATTTATTTCTATGTTAATTGTCTAATTAAAAACCTGCAGTTTTGACTACTATATATATATATATAAATCTAATCAAACATTCTTCTGCAGCTGGGATCTCTGAAGTAGATAATGCAATTAGAAATTTTATCATGGGAGTTAAGAAATGATCAACCACTTAAGTAAATCTTTTGCAATCAGTGGAAAAAGAATAGCCATTTTGAAGTTACAATTCATCTGACCTATTTTAGAGATCTATTTGCAAATAAGAGAAACCATGTTCTAGAAAAGTAATTGCTCTTCTTTTGCTTTAAAAGGAGACTTGACATCTAGCTCAGATATAGACATCAGCACTTGGGCAGATGAGTCCTAGCACTAGGGTCTATCTCCAACAGACGTTAGGTGACAGTCACTGTAAAATGTTATTCTATATGCATCTAGAAAAAACTTTTAAGCACATTTAACTTTATTTGACAAAAATGCTGATTTGATTTGGTCTGCAGTTCTAAAATGGCTGCTGTGCTCAGCAGCAAGTGTAATTACCATTTGGAGTGTAAAGTTCCATAATTATCTTGAACTAACAAGAAACACAAGATGGTGTCAATTGGTTTTGGGTTGGTTTTCTGGTGGGTTGTTTGGGGTTTTTTTGTTAGAAAATGCTCTAATTAGGAGGTGAAAAATGGAATAGGGAAAAAATTTTTAGTCAACATGTTACTCAAATAGAACATAACCATCTTGAAGTCAGAAACATATAACAAGATAACAGAGATCAGGTTAACTTCATTAAAGATCAAAACTGAAGCAGTTTAATCTAAATTAAGGATGAATCTTGGGCATATTTAGATTACAAATACTAATTCTGTTTTCATTGCATTTATATAATCTAATACTTTCTGTTCTCCAAATTCAATGTTGCTAACCAGCCTGATTTTTATATTATTTTTTTCTCACAAGACAAAAAGGAATTCTGCAAGGATTAGTGATCAATTTAGCAATGAAAAAATAAGTTTTTTCTTTTAGTTCTACTTAAGCAAAGCCCCACTCTAACCCTTTTTTTTTCTCCACCTTTCAAATCTACTGGGAAGAGTGAAAAAAAACCACCTGACACTGTAGAGGTGGTATAGACTGCCTGCAGAGTTCTTCTATAGATTCAGTGGTTGACACAAAGCTCATTAGAAAGAAGAGACCTAGGAAAACTCACATGATTCACACTGTACCTGGAGCAACTGATTGCCTCTTAATTGGTTTTGTCTCCCAGAAGAGTTGGTGCCTTGTATTTGCTGAAAGAAGCGCCCTCTCAGAACACACTAGCAGATAGCAGTCTCTCTTGTTGAACTGAGGCAAGCCTGGCAAGAAGCCCTGAGTTGTCTAAAGAGACCACATATGCTTTTCTCTGAATTCTGTACCTCTCTGGAGGTAGCGGCTCTCTCCCTGTTTGCTTCACGGGAGTTCACCACAAAAAGAACACACAGAGTTATAAACTCAGTTATAATCCTGGGAAAAAAGCAACAGGAAACACAAATAAATCAGACTAAACCACAACAATTTCCTCCTTTTTTACACAAGATTCCTGATATTTATCAAAACTCACAACTGGGTAATAGGCTATATAACAAAATAGTCACAGATTTAAACCACAATCCCATATAGTTTCAGGATCAGGGTTTGGGACAGGCATGAAATATTCTCAACATCTTGGACAAGTTCACTGTCTTATACTTCAGTGATTTCATTTGCGTTCAAAACTTACCAGTATTTAGACATTTGGTTGTTAATGGAAGGATGAGAGAGATCCCAGTAGGGTTGCCTTCACCCAGGTGGGAAGGTGGAAGATGAACTCTGGGAGCCATTAGAGGAACAAAGGTGAAACTGGGAAGAAGAAAGGACAAACTGATGCAGGAGGTAGTCAGAGGGTATAAAATAATCCACATAATCAACACCATGGTCACAGACCTTAAAGGTTTCGGGAGTGACCAGCCTACAAGGAAACCAGGCATATATCCATCAAAACAAGAGTGAGGAAAAGCCTAAGTTTCATTGTTTATACTTCCTTAGGGCATGGTAACAAGGAATTGAAGTATCCTTGAACTATGAGCAGCTCCCGGTGGACTGTTAAACATGGGCTCACAGCTTGTGCCACAATCACACGTCTTGCACACAGCTGAAAGAAATGATCAAGGCTGTTACATTTCCTCTTTGATTTCAGTATAACAGTTGGGCCAAAGAGACAGAAGCAAACCTGCTCACTTCTGAGAACTGCCAAGCTGTCTTTATATAAACTACTCATATTTGGCTTGGTCCAGTTCAGTTCATGAACACTCATTCCCAGTATTAGAAGCCTTTGGGAATCACAACCAACTCGTTTATATAAAGAGAAAACCCAACCATACATGGCCAGTCAGAAAGATCTATGCATCTGATCTCTCCGGCTCCCTGCAGCAAAACTAAGCGATGAAGAACTGGGCTTGCATTCCTGTTACAGCACTACTGATTTCTATTTCCTGCAGCAAAACTCTCAAATAAACAACTGGACTCGCTTTCATGCAGGAGTGCTAACTTGTTGATAGCACCACAGCTATATTTAAAGCTGTTTTCCCGAGGCAGCTTTTCTTTATTGTTGACAGTAAAATGGATGGTCTATGAAAAGAGATTTTTGTGCCACTACTTGTTTTCAAACAGTTGGGGAATAATGCAGGGACCACAAAGCAGATTCAATATTCTTTAGACTTCTTTAAAATGAGTAAAACTAAAACCATACAAGGGATGCCCAAAGCTAATTTAAAAATACTGAAAGTGCTGGCATGGGAGACAATGCCCTTTTCCTACAAAGCCATCAGTTTTTACATGCTTTCATTTCAAAACGTGTGATGTCCACTCAGTTCTACTCAACAGAACTTGTTTAAAGCACTCTTCAAACCAGATTTTCTCTGAGAAAGTCACTAGTGCAATGACACCAACAACTTTTCTTTAAACAATACTAATTTGGAAAATGTCTTTGTGATCATTGTTTTTGCATACCATGTTGAAAAGTTAACTGTGTAGGGAGCAGGTTATAGGAAGGGATTAAACATTTCCACTGGTATTTGTGAGGCCATATCCAGAACAATGTGTTTGGTTTGGACCTCTGCAAATACATTAATCCTACTGTGAATGTGGGGTTGGACTGGAGATCTCCAGCAGTCCTTTCCTCTCTGAATTATCTTATCAGACTATAACTGCTTCAGAAAGCACACTGTCATAAACCAGCATTATTTATGAAAAATGTCATTCTTTCCTTCCCTCAACCTCATTTAATTTTTCATGGTGGCATAAAGCGTGTGCTGAATCGAGTTGGGTGACTAATCCAAAATCAATACAGGGAGAGGGGGAGATGACAGTTAGCAGGATCATTTCTGCCAACTAGTTTACTAGGCAGCTTTAAAAACATCTATGGCTAAAGGAGATAACGTAAGGGAAACTGTGTGGGAAGAAATAAGCAGGAGCATGAAGAGAGCTCTTTCAGCACCAGTGCCCGTTTATGCTATTTTAAGATGAGTAAGAATCAGTGATTAGTTACAGGTAAAGATGTTCTTTGCAGCTAGATCGGTGCCAAGGAAGGTATTACTTTCTTTAAAGGGACACCTCACCAGGAAGAGTTTAAAGCAGCAATCTGCTGCAGTTGTTTATTAAACACTCCATAGTGTTTTTCATAACCACCAAGTTGGCAAAATTCATCCTACTTAATTATGTTCTATTGCTTGAAGTTCCGCACTGCAACTGCGCACAGATAACATTATTTTCTTTCCCTACCTTACGTATGCTGGCAAGACCTGGCATATCTCATCACAGACTTTGTAAATGAGGGATTATTTTAAAAATTATCTTTGTTAAATAACAGAAAATAAACCAGTTTCCTTTGCCTTTTCCTTGTCTGAGCAGTAGAATGATGGTTTATGGATAAAGCATTGAGGAAGACTCAGCAACAGTGTATATAGTTCCCAGTGGTACAAGTATTGTTTTTGACAGTAGAGGAATTAATTTGGCCATTACCAGGGCCTGTTTTCAAAGCATAACAAACAGCTTTCAGAATCAGAAAGTACACTGCTCAGCAGGGTAGCAGACTTGCCTTATGTGTCTTTAAGTATTCTTGATAAAAAGTGCTCCTTTGCTGCAGCTTATGTGTCACATGAAGAAAGGGAAAGATTCAGCATGGAGCTTGAAAGCTCCTTATTATGTTGTCTCTTTGTGCTTCTGTGAGATAGATCACAAAAGTAATAAAGAGTACCAATATACATTTAGTTGCAATTACTGTCTGTAGCTGTAGTTGCCTGACCCTTCTAATTGGAAAACCTGCTTATAATTACTTATAATTTCATGTAAGTAATGAACACAAACATACGATACAGACCACTCAAAAATATACATGCACAAAGAACACTGTGTCCTCTCCCACATGACTTGAAATTAAAAAAGAAGACAGGATTACATGATAATTTTTGTTGCTGGATTGGTTAATGTTAGACAGCTTTTGTTACAATCTTTAAGCCTCAGTTCCTTGTAAACTGAAAATAATACTATCCTTTTTAAGATTTGTCCTTTCCTAACTACCACTGGTATTATTATTACTAAGGGAAGCAAACCAAAATTTTGAAAGAAACAGTTTATGGAAGCAGTTCAGAGTATGTATCACAAAGGGCCTAAACCAGAAATTTTTATTCTTTTGATGGAAATCATGGTCATTAACTGACGGCATTATGGGCACCTCAGGCTTAATTCTATTTAATGTAGAGGGCTGTCTCTGTTTTTCAGATGAACTATATTGTATGAGTTTTATTGCAAAATTTGAAGTTGAGTGCTTTGCGCAGGATAATTAGATATCTTGCTAACTATTTCAGGATTAAGTTTTCAGTCTCTACATCAGTACGATGTCCGAGTCATGGATTTAAATGGCTACACTCTTTCCTATAGCCAAACTGTATCAGGAAGGAGGAATTAAAATGATAAAAGAAGTTATAATCAGTGTTGACCCGAGTCATGTTGTACACGTATCCTCAAATTTCAGATCTGAAGGTAGTAAAATGTATAGATTTTACTGGAAAATAAAGCCTCTCCCTTCGGAAATGGTAACAATACAGTCACCTTGTGGATTCAGCCCCAAGAGGAACGTGAATATAACAGCACTCACAGACTTGCCATTCAGCAATGAATCCCCAAAGTTTTCCTTGTGAAACCCCATGCAAGGGGACACTTTTGTGCATGTGGTACATGTGGGGGTAAAATTGTGCTGAAATAACTTCAAAGACATAACATGGTCTTCAGGTTCTTCAGCCTTGCAGCCCTGCATTTCACAATGATAATCAGTTTGCAGAAATATTAATTAGCACTACCACCACAGACAATAAGGCCATTGAAATGGGCAGAGTAGTAGAGTCTTTGCATATCAATAGGTAGTGTTTTCCAAATCAGATGAGCAGCTTGATAGTGCTTCAGGGAAGCAAATGAAAGTCAATTTTACATGATGACTCCAGATATTGTACTTTGAATTTGACAAAGACAAATTCAGATCCAATTATATTCATTACCACAGAAAAGGTTGTCTCAAAGTCTTTTAGGCAGATCATAATCTGAAATGAATTATAGTAACTTTGACTGTTACTGAGCGAATCTATATCTAAACCTAAATATTTGCATATTTAAATAGTATTTCTACTTTTATGCTTATGTTCTCAGTGATTAATTACTTTTGTTTAGAACTCAGTGAAAAGCTGTTCAAGTCACTAAATAATGTCAAACACTAATAAGTCCTAATATGTAGCTCAGATCCTATTAATTTTTCCGTCTTCAATCTTTTAATATTCAGCATACATATTAAGCAGTCAAACTTATTTCTAAGATTTTCTACAGCTGACAGTGTTTTTTCTGACCTATTTAGTTCAGAAAAATTAAGAGACATATTCTGTAAGAAATTATACATAGACTATTTTTCCTCATGAATACAGAAGCAATTTGTTGTAAATCAGATTGCTCACAAGTAATACTGCAAGCTGATGCTAGAAAGAGGAGTCTCATGTGATACTTTATTGTTCTTCACACGGTTTTGTCTAGTGATTCTGAGTGTGTTAGCTGGCACGGTAACCAACCGTGGCCTGGCATTAGCTCAACAAGTCATTCTTCATTAACTAAGGGCCAGTGTAGTTTTATATTTTTGAGCCAATTCCAAGCAGATCTTCAGTAGACATAACAGATCTCTTTAGGTTCTCTAAAGAGGCAGAGCTGTAGAGTTTTTAAATATTGTTTATGTCCTTCAAGACTCTTTTTGTGGTGACAGTTCAGGACAAGGCATCTTTCTTCAGTTCATGTAAATCAGAACTATACATCAGATTTTTATTCAGTATTCTCTCTTACTTTATAGGACACTTCCTGAGTAAGTTCCAAATCCGGGAGAGTGGATGTTCCGCTCTCATAAAATTTGTCTTCATTTGTAGTTGGTAAGTTCCAAATCCGGGAGAGTGGATGTTCTGCTCTCGTAAAATTTGTTTTCATTTGTAGTTGAAAAAAATATTTTTAATTTCTGTTCTAAATTGATTGAAACTGTAAAGAGAGATTGTGCAATTCCTCCAGGCAGTGGAATCATATTCATGGGTAATGATCACAAATACAATGTTTGCTATACTTTATTACAAATTTATAATGAGTATACAAAATTAATAATATTTTTCCATAGCCTAGGTATTTTACATTTCAAAAACCACCAGACAAGTTTTAAACCACATTATACAAAGAGTCTATGCAACACTTTCAGTTTGTGAGGACTTGCAAAACCCTACTTTCAATTCCCATATGCAGAGCTTAAATTTTTAAAAATAAATTACAAGCAAGATTTCAACAGCTGTCTTCAAAAGTGCAGTACGAAATCTCAGAGATTCTTGATAAAAACATGAGTGTTGGCCTCAGTGCATAAAGTCTGTGAGGCACTAATTCTCAAAGCAGTCTCACTGTACTGCGGCAGGAGACAGAAAAAAAAGCCTCATTTCTCTTTAAAGACAGTTGCCCGAAAGTAAATCTACAGGAGCTGTCAGAGCATTAGTTCACTATGAGAAACTTTTTTGTATTCATTATTGAAAAGATTCAGTTAATTATACAAGTCCTACTGCATATGTACTGCCCAGGAGCAGAAAAAGATTTTTAATGAGTTACAAAAGGGTTGGGATTTTTATATCTACAAATAGACAGTATTTGCTTCAATGAACTTCAGAAAATATAGGGGAGTTTCTAAGCCAGCCAGCCAGCCAGACATATTTAAATACAAATATGTGTGTGTTTTTTGAATTGCCTTTTTTAGGGCAAAAAGTTTTGAGAAAAATTTTCATCAGAAAAGTTTCCCAGTTGCTGGTGTAAATGCTGACAAATTTGCTGAAGGCCAACTGATCATAGCCTCAAGTCCCCTTATTTGGGCCAGAATCTCAGGTCCCAGAAGAGGGGATTGAGTATCTCTGTTCTGTGTGATACCAGAGAGAGGTCTCAACATCTGACATGTGAAATTTCCAGGAACTAGTCTCTGACTTTTTCCTCAATCTTAAAGGTCCTGAATAAATGTTTTAGGTCATCATATTGTAAAACTTTCAGTCCTGCACTGTAAAACATTTTTCCCTCTGCATCTCTGATACCAACCTATCACGTTTTCCCATCACTGAACATTAAGCCCTTCTCTTTTTCTAAATTCCATAATTCCCAGCTCTCCCTTTCTTTATAAGAGGACTTCCACCATCTTCCACATTCCTCATGAAAGTTCAGAAACTCGGAAACATTTTTTTGCATTTTCACCCCCACAGAACACTGAGACCTCTTCTGTAGAGTCATTTAGTCCACTTGGAACATGGACTTATGTCATAATTTTGAGCATCACTGTTGTTTTTTAAGTGTTATATAACTCCATTTACTTAACAGATTTCCTCTCAGTTCACGAACACTGTAAATAGGAGCACATTTTCCCCTTCTCTTTTTTCTTTCCATAATTTCAGTCTTCATGACAAAGCTCTATGAGTGTATTTACGTAAGTGCGGTACTAGCCCTGTACTTTTTCTTCTGTTCTAGGTTTTTATGTGATATTTTTTATTCAAGTGTGTCTCTGTGGACTTTAACCACACACATCAGTTCAACAGTGCAATGAAATACCAACTTTAGGATGTCTTTTATAGCTGTTTGAGGGAATCAGCATTGCATGAAATGAAGAATAATGGCACTGCTGAATGCTGAATGAGAGGAAAAATGTGAAGTGTGTATTTCAATGAAAAGCAGGTACTTTAGACTATAAAGATTTCTAATGGAAGGTTGCAAACTTTAAAAAAAATAATGTTTTTAACAGAAGACTCTGGGCAGAAGCTGAAAGATAAATTGATATTTTTCCAAACTGGTTACAACTTCAGGAAACATTTCCACATCACTGTAAGCAGTACTTCCAGGCATCAATCCTCCAGGGGCTGTAGAACTCTGAATTCTGCATAACACTGTGGAATACTCTGCATAACATCTCTCCTGAGCAAAACTTGGATTAACAGATTTTTCCAGTTTTGGCTGAGCTGATTCCTTGTTTATCCTGATGCATGGAAAGGATCATCCCTCATTGCTCTGTTGGACAGATTATGCAGGTTGTTGAATCCTAGTAATAATTACAGTATTCATTTTTGTGCTAAAATTTCCTAAATTCTCCTACAGCCAGTCACAAAACACTTTGGTGCTCCTGGAAGAAAGATTTGGCTTTCTTTAATATATTAGACACAATGAGTTTAGTTAGAATTATCACAGCTCTTACTATCTCACTGCATAGGCAATTACTCATACTCTTAGTAGTCTTATTAGCAACAATTATTTCAGTAATCACTCTTATTTAATGATAGACAAATAGCATCTCAACAGTGGGCTGATACTACCGTACCAGGTAATGTAAGTACACAAAAGAAAATCAATGAATATAATAGCATTACCTGTTTTCCACAGGGACAGTCAGTGCAGAAGCATCTGCTCTGGTACCCAAGCTGTGCAGCACACACGACTGTGCTCACCAGTGTGTAGTTCCAGGGAGATATGAGCAAGACTTTAAGCATATTTCACAGAAGAGTCTCAGAGCTGCAGTATAAATCTGAGGGGGAATCTGGAAAGCATGGTGTGAGGAATGAAAAGGCAGGTTCTCACCAAAAATTTTCATCTTCAGTTACCATGATAGTGTGCCTACTAGGTTTATAGCACAAAAGAGTGCTAACATATTGCCTTAGCTTGAGTATGTGTATGGATATATTTGTGTATACAAATGCCATCTTCCACCTCCTTCTCAAAGAAAGCTTTATAGAGTTACATATGCCACCATGTGTTAAGTAATTTTTTATGGGCTATAAATGACTCGGCCAAGCTGTGAAATGAAACAGCTTGTTCCACTGCACTAACAGTGCAGGCTCAGTGCGTATTGTCTGTGCAGTAAATGTGCAATGAGCCGCTCTCCAAACTAACTGAAGTGAAAACACGTCGTATGTGGTTCTTACACCAATTCCTATCCACTGTGTATAATTCCCTGTGATAGGACAGCTTTGTGGCAAAGGGAAAGTACCAAAATATTTTATTATTTGCATTCCTAAGTCAGAAAGCATCATTATTTCTTTTCAGTTTGGTTACCTCTTTTAAAATCCTTAGCGTGCCTATTAAAACTAAGCCTCTATTTAGGTGTGTAGGCAACATTGACTCCTGAAGTCAGCACTTTATCCTTGAGCTGTTTTTCTATGTATCTTTCTAATCTAAATTTTTTAAAGACCAGCACCTAATATTATCCATCTACCTTTGAGGCTTGTTTTTTATCTTTTATCATACCTTATGTCCAAACCGCTAAAAGGAATGAAAAATCACTACCTAAGCAGCTGAGTGCCAAAGTAAATGGGCAAGTTCCTAGTTGTTCCTGTAATGCAACATGTTCTTTGTTTACATTTAAATGCTATATGACTGGTTTCGCTTGTGCCTGACCTACAAATTTGGCAGAAATTATATAAAAAATCTTTATTTTCATGTCACACTGCTCCCTGAGTGGTCAGGAGGTTTCCTAACAGAACTATGACTTTTCAGAAATGGAATCTTCAAGTACTTTGGTTTCATTGCTTGCATTTTTAGCTGCTATTCTTAGGAAGTATGTTGTTCTTACAATGTTTTTGAAGAAGTCTGTGCATTTGAATTTAGGCTGGGGAATGTTTGTTTACACCCCAAGTACGAAATGTTCTGTTCAAAGGATTATTTTCACTTTGGATTCACAAAAGTAAATAAATAGAAACCTTCCTGGCAATCTAGTTTTTCCCCTTCTGATACTTTTATTATTTAGATTTTTATTATATTTCTGAATTATATCTGCAATTATTTGTTCCTCTTTATTATATCTTTGGGCAAATTTTCTATTATCACTTGTTACTATCCATGGGAGTAATTTCACTCGTCTTAAAGTGCTCATATTATTTCCATTATAGTTTTATCATATTGTAATATAAGCCAAATGGACTTTAATCCATTTCCTGTGATTTCTAGTGGTTCAAGCCAGAATGTCTCATTTCATGACATCAAGCAGAAAAAAAAGAATAAATGAATCTGTCGTGATATTCACATCTTTATATATATATACTCAGAGCGAAAAGGTGTAAACTTTTTCATTATTTTGGCATAGAAAGTGAAGGTTGGCTCAGAAGGGATTTTGTCATTTCAGACTATATTGTCAAACCTCAAAAACTTGCATATCAAAACTAAAAAAAGATAAAAAATATATTTGCTATGGGAGACTGAAAGTAGCTTGAAATCTGTCATCATTTAAATGAGAACCTAAGCAAAATCTAGCAAAATCCTCCCTGTTTTTGCATAGGTAAAACCCATTCTGTGTTCTTATACTGACACGAAAAAAGGGCTTGCAGATTCACTTGTTCTACTTTAACAGAATATTTATGCTATATTACACAAAGACTATCATAGTATTGTGCAAAAATAGTTTATTGAACAGTGGCTATGTAAAATACAGACATTTGAGGGTAGTTCGCAAATTTCTTCTCCCTTTAGCAGCACATTTTCTCCTTGGTAAAGCTGCAACAGAAAATAATCAAGGTTCAGGTTGTTTTGTATGTATGACATTAAATACTTTTCTTCTTTTCCCTGTATGAACTTTTGTTCGTCCAAAAGCTAAAGCAAAGTGTGCCTTTCATCATCAAAATTTCAGACGTGCTCTGGCGATCTGTCTTTTATGCAGCTGAATCTGCAGCGTCTGATAGGTCTCCTTATGTAAGATGCTAAAATTGTACAAAGAAGACTGTGAATGTATATTTAGGCTCAGGCAGTGATTTATGGTGAGGATGAAAGGGAGCAAAGGTGCTTGAGGAGACTTTTGCCTTCTGAGACATGAGGCTGCATAGTTCCCCTTCTCAGATCCAGGCTACACCTATATTTGAAGTTCAATTAAAATAGCAAAAATAATTTCAACCATGATTTTATCTTTCTCTTGTTGAAGTGATGGAAAACAGTAGAGTTGTAGATTTACATTTTGATACTTTTAGCCTCATTTCACTGTTTAAAAATCAGGTTTCTAAATCAAAGCCATCAACTGTCTTTGAAACTCATCTCAGCTACCACTGAAAAAAAAAAAGACAGGCACTTCTAGGAAGCATTTATCCATCCTGAGATATCAGTTTATCCATCCTGAGATATCAGTTTAAGGAGATGCTATCCCTATTGACTACAGGGTCTAGGGAGTCTGAGTTAGACATCTAAACTTCCTTATGACTAACCCTGTCATTAGTTTATTATTTTAAATCAAAGCTAAATTTTGGGAAATGATGGTATTTGAATGGATTGTGGAGAAGATGTTGATAGAATAGTCGTTTTTTCCCTCCACAGAAGTATAAATAAGTATAAATAACTATGAAAAAGAGATATCTACTAATATGTACTATGAATTAATTTGGTAACTCTCTTGACTTCCCTCACCCCATTTTTATTTTCCCTCTACCTACCACCTGTCAAATATAGGTATTCTGTGTTCATCTTCGTCATTAAAAGCAATCTCTATATTCACCTCTATTCACCTTCATTGGTCGAATGTGATATTTATGGTTTGTGACTAATATGTACTATGAATTAATTTGGTAACTCTCTAGACTTCCCTCACCCAATTTTTATTCTCCCTCTACCTACCACCTGTCAAATATAGGTATTCTGTGTTCATCTTCGTCATTAAAAGCAATCTCTATATTCACCTCTATACACCTTCATTGGTTGAATGTGATATTTATAGTTTGCATGGTTTTCCCTCCATTTATTCAAATGCTTCTATGATACAGGAGCCAGTCTCACTCAAATATTGAAAAATATCTTTCTGGAGAAATCTCTAATCCCCTATACTGTCCTTTAGGTCTCTGACATGGGCAGCTTCTAACACTAGTAAAACTTTCCCCTCTAATTCATCTCTTCAAATCTTATTGCCTCATTAACTTCTTCCTATTGCCTCATTAACCTTTTCCTACAATATTTTAGAATACCACTTAACAGAAATAAAGCTAGTTGAAACCGGATCAGTACAAGCCTATGATTTTTATTTTTCATATTTGAACATGTGTGAAGTATCAGTGTTATTTTCCTACAAATCACTTTAATTCAGGCCAAAAGCTTTAACACATCATATCAGTCCATAGTCAGCATTATTTTTTGTTGTTCTTTTTATTTTAAAAGAAACAAATCAAATCTGTGAAAGAGGCAGGCACACACACACAGTGACCAATAAATGGAGCAAGGTTTAGATTTTTTTCTGAGAAATATTTCACACACCAAAATCTCAAAAGGCAAAAGGTTTTCTCTGTTTTCAAAATGCATTTTGCACAACAGGTTTTTTTCATCTGAAAATAAAAGCTGAAAACTATTTTCCTTCAAATATTCTTTGCTACTTTCAAATATTCTTTCCTACTAAGAATTTTGTCCATACAGGCTAAATTTCTGCACTAGTGTATTCAAAATTTTGTGGGCAGTGAGCCTGCTAGCTCCAAGAATCATAACATAAAACTGTCAACTTGTTCTCATGCTTGAGCCTTACAGCGAGCCACTCTCACTGCCCACAAAATTGTAAATTGTGCTCGCTGTGAGCAAACTTCTTTAATTCTGCTCCTCTCCCTCATTACATGATTGCATACACATCACATCAGAGGAGACAGGGAGAAATTAATGAAAGACCTTAATCTTCTTTGCTCATCTCATAATATATAGTCTGTTCACAGCAGTTCACATCTTCAGGGTAATGAGAAGGAAAACATAGTCAGCATTATTTTTTTTTGTTCTTTTTATTTTAAAAGAAACAAATCAAATCTATGAAAGAGGCAGGCACACATAGTGACCAATAAATGGAGCAAGGTTTATATTTTTTTCTGAGAAGTATTTCACACACCAAAATCTCAAAAGGCAAAAGGTTTTGTCTGTTTTCAAAATGCATTTTGCACAACAGGTTTTTTTCATCTGAAAATAAAAGCTGAAAACTATTTTCCTTCAAATATTCTTTACTACTTCCAAATATTCTTTCCTACTAAAAATTTTGTGCATACAGGCTAAATTTCTGCACTAGTCATTTTTCATATTTGAACATGTGTGAAGTATCAGTGTTATTTTCCTACAAATCACTTTAATTCAGGCCAAAAGCTTTAACACATCATATCAGTCCATAGTCAGCATTATTTTTTGTTGTTCTTTTTATTTTAAAAGAAACAAATCAAATCTGTGAAAGAGGCAGGCACACACACACAGTGACCAATAAATGGAGCAAGGTTTAGATTTTTTTCTGAGAAATATTTCACACACCAAAATCTCAAAAGGCAAAAGGTTTTCTCTGTTTTCAAAATGCATTTTGCACAACAGGTTTTTTTCATCTGAAAATAAAAGCTGAAAACTATTTTCCTTCAAATATTCTTTGCTACTTTCAAATATTCTTTCCTACTAAGAATTTTGTCCATACAGGCTAAATTTCTGCACTAGTGCTCATTAACTTCTTCCTATTGCCTCATTAACCTTTTCCTACAATATTTTAGAATACCACTTAACAGAAATAAAGCTAGTTGAAACTGGATCAGTACAAGCCTATGGTTTTTATTTTTCATATTTGAACATGTGTGAAGTATCCTACAAACCGCTTTAATTCAGGCCAAAAGCTTTAACATATCGTATCAGTC